TTGTGTCAGGGTGCACGTGTGTATATGTTGGTGTGTATCTATGTGTGTGTATTTGTAGGTGTGTATCTATATGTGCGTGTGTGTCGGTTTCTATATGAATTTGTGTGTATGTGTCTGTATATTTATATGCATCTGTGTGTGAATTGCATGAATATCTGTGTATGTATGTATGTATGTTTGTGGTAGTGTATGTGCATACATCCAAGCAGTCAAACACCAGCACAACATACAAGCACACTCCTGCAATCTAACACAAATATTACATACAAACACATCTCTGCCTTCAAACTCAAAAATAAATATACAAACACACCCATTCACTCAAACACAAATACTTCACACAAATGTACATCCACATTTAAAAGTGAACATTACATTCAGACACACCCCTGCAATCAAACGCAAACATTACATACAAACACACCCCTGTATTAAAACACAATAAATGTATACAAGCACCCCTTCAAACACCAACACTGTACATTACACTATAGCGCCAGCAAATGTCGCAGCGCTGTACAGATAAACAACCTAGAAATTTTGACTTGGGGTGCCTTGGAAAAATACTGAAATATTAAGGGCGCCTTGAACCTAAAAAGTTTGGGAACCACAAGTGTCGAACCTTTTGGCTTCCCTGGGCCTCTTTGAGCAAAGAGGAACTGTCTTGGGCCACATATCAAATATATCATATAGTTAATGTATATAGGTAATTAAACTTTAAAAGACATTTTCTTCATTTTGATATTTCTATTGTTTAGTAGATAATTCCCTGATTTGTTATCCTCATGTAGGATTGTCATATTTAAGGATACCAAATTAGGGAGCTATCTACTAAACATAAACACATGTATATACATAGGCACAATCACAGATATACGTAAACACAATCACAGCCCACATAATAATCATAGATATACACACAAATAGACATACACACACAGACCCACGCACACAAACAATCACATGCATGCACACAATCACAGATACACACACATACAATGACAGACCTATAGACACAATCACAGGTACACACACACACACACACAATCACAGATACACACACACACACATACAATCACAGACTTATAGACACAATCCCATTTTCTTTGGGGGTACATCTAAAAACAGCTAGCAAAAGCTGCAGGTCTCTTGTCTGCAGTCTTTACAAGCCCTCCTCTTGTAACCCCACCCAGACTTTCTGTGGCTGTCCAATCACAGACTTGCCATTGCAGCTTGCTCTGGGCAATTGCAGGCTTTTAAGCTTAACTTCACTGAGCTAACCAAACCAGGAAGTAACAGGACCAGTCTGTCTGACAGCCAGGAAGTGTAACAGGGGCACACTCTTATGAATAAAGTGTGCTTTATGTGCGTGGTGTGTCCCATTAAAGAGAGAAAAGAGAAAAGAGAAGGACACCTTATCGTTGCTAGTCTAATATTTTTATATTAACAACAGCAACAATCGTCCCTCTTTCTTTAAATCAGTTTTCAATTAATTTACAAGCATTTCCTCTAATTCTATCTGTGAAATTGCAGATAGTTTTGAGGTAACTAGCCTGAGCTAACTAGCCTTACAAATGATCTATTTAGACTCTCTCTTCCCAAAGACATATCACCCCAAAATCATGCTGGTCCAATAATAAGGCATTACAGAATACTGCGATACTCCATGGTCAATGCATTAATACGGCTGTTCATTAACCATTAATATGATCACAGAGTAAGAGATTTACAGTTACAGCGAATTTAACAGAAATACCAGTCTGTACTCATTGCTCCACTGACCTCTCCGTCTCCGACTATGACTCATTCTATCTAACCATAATGGTTTTCTTTTTCCACCAAAATGCTCTGACAAAGCTTTTATTTGTCTCCAGCTGTCAATGTTCTTGCAAGAGAATGTGATTCATGTAAGTGAAAAAGTTGAATTGCTGCTCTAAGTAACTTGTTCAAAATATACTGTCATTTTTTTTTTTTATGTATTTGAAAAGTTCATACTTGTTGCGGCTCCCGGCCCGCTGTGTGGCGCAGCCATGCCTGACCGGCACGACCTCGACGATATTGCGAGCTTACCTGCTAGCCGGCGAGCCGGGAGCGGCTCCTCAGCGTCTTCTGGGCGTCGCGCCCAAATCAAAGATGGCACTGACCACGTGGTCGTGTGCATCACAAGCTCCACCTCTACAATTTATACGGACGTGCGCGTGACGTCACGATGTCAATGCATGCGCACGTTCTGGGGTCAGAGGTCACCCTCTGACCAATCAGAGCCCAGAGAGGGATATTTAAATCCCTAATTCACTCCAGTTCTTTGCCCTGTCATGGTTTCCTGTTCCTGGTTCCGAGAGTGCGTTTATCTTTGTGAATCTGATTTCCTGGTATCCTGATCTTGGCTTTTCCCTGGTTATTCCGAATTCTGGTTCCCCTGACTTTGCTTGTTTAAACGGTATCTGAGTATTTCTGGCTTCCTTGACCTCGGCTTTCCCTTTGATCATTCTCTATCTCTAGCGTATTAGTCCGGCCATTCTAAGGTCCGGTTTACGCTCTGTCCTTTTATTTTCCTTTTCTTTTGTATGTATATGTTTACATAGTTTGTGCGTGTTGGAGCACACTAGCAAACGTGACAATATTACTGTATTGGATCGTTTTGCACACAAGGGGTAAAAACTGTTTAGGCGATCGTCCCCCTTTCCAGAGATGCAGGCACAGCTATTGTAGAACACCAAACGCACGAACCGCCAATAAGTGAATGCTCCAAACTCCCGAACGGCATCCAATATAGCACTCCAAACACACGAACAGGAACCATTCGAATCGCTGCTAGCAGACAAATAGGAAAAGCATCCAAGCGGCTTACACTCCTAGCAATCAGTCTTATTCAGCATTCATTAAATCCCCCCAAAGACGAGACAAGGCTCCGTGTTGTGGGTCAAACATTGGTCTGTTTAATGAGGGCTACCTGCCCAGTATTTATGCAGGTCTCCCACCTGGTGGACACTCCCCTAGGGGACCAAATGGGAGACTGTGACAAGGGACAGATAAGTAGACAAATAGGACACACAGTCACATTATATTCCCACAATGCATCCTGGCTTCCTCCCCTCTGCCTTGGAGATAATTGAGAAGTAATTCAATTATCTCCCAAGACAAAGGCAAATCGCCATTATGCACGTGGGGATACTAACACATGAATTACTATTAAAATACACTATGTGAGACACATAACATTAAAAGCATACATTTAACATATCCCCAGATAGCTCAGGTCTGAGCGCACATTATTAAGCGAATGGCACTCAGACCACATGAATACAGTTTAATCGCCATGGAGCTAAAGTCTTTACACAGTCAGTTTCATGCGAATGGGCTCCATGGGATTCCTATCTGGGGTATAACATATTCCAGTAAAACTACCGAACGCCGGGCCGTTTGTGCACTTTCATCGACCAAGAAAGGAGGTCGGCGGCTTCAGCGGTGTTCGCGCAAAACTGTGTCCGATTTCAGTTCCATGAATTAAGCGTCGAACACTGCTGTGCGTTCGCATGTTTAAAATGGCCGCGACCTCATGTTCGTGATACGAATGGCGGCCACCTAGCATTTGTCAATTAAGCTGCAGTTAACCGCAGCTTCAGGGAGGCTAATTGCCGGCACACTCCAGCTCCCAGGTGGTCCAGTCATTCGTGCGGTTGTTCGGTAAATTGAATCTACCAAACGCCAGGCCGAAAATCACGAATAAGTCTTTTCTGCAGGTGAAACAAAGTCTTTTAACAGTCCAAAGGCAGCAGGCAAGCAACCAGGCTTCTCCAATGCACTGTGGCGAGATTGCTCTCGTCACAATTACTATTATTCCTGTAATGAAGCCCATGGACATTGATGAAATCCATTTTCAGTGATCCTGGGTCAGAATAAACCATTATCTTACTCAAGATTACTCTCACTGACCCACAGCAGTGGCATCTTTGAGCATACAGTGCACAGACTGGCAAATTTCAGGTATCACAGAATGATACGTTTCTTCCATTTGTCTGCATCCAGGAGTAAAACATAAGAACTGTTGCTAACTATTGTCTGGAGATCTATTCATAAATAGGACTGTAATTAAAGGATCACTATAGTGTCAGGAAAAAAAAATCGGTTTCCCCTCCCGTGGTGCTGAAGGGGTTAAAAACGCTTCAGTTAGTCACTGTAACGGAACCGCTTGCACCCCGACCGGGTACCTTCCGTTGATGGATGCTCCTAGTGCTTCCCGAGGACTCCAAGCACTCCGCCAGACACCATAACCACTGTAGACTCCCACGAACCGCCGCAGCTTGGTTGGGGTCTCGCCGTCTCCACCCACTCTGGACCCAAGACCAGGGTCCAGCTTCCAGTAGGTCAACCTCCCGAATTCCAGAGAGCAGGAACAGGAACAAGCTCTTAGTAGAGCTTAGTGATCATACCCTGGGGGGTATAGTGAATATAGCAATCCCCAGAGTGTAGTTCTCCAATCCCCCAAACAGGAGCCGAAACTTCATGAAGGTACAAGATGATCTGACTCCAATGAGCGTTTATTACTCCTTATATACAAGTTTTCAGGCCAGAGTCACACCCCCTGGACCTGGTGGTAAACTGTGACAAAAGGGACACAAACCAATGGGAACACTAATTAACATAATAACACTCCCACATACACAATGAAATCCCTCCTCTACATTTTTTTTTTTTTGACTTTCAAATCTTTATTTTATTTCCAAGTTTTTCTTTTCACAAACATATAAACAAACAAACCACAATGCGGTATAATTAGGCTACGTGCCTCCAATTGTCGTGTATTAACATTGTAACACCCCCCTCCCTCTATCCCTTCTCTCTCCCATCCCTCCCTCCCACCTGCTTTCATAACGGTCTGTCCTACCTAGCTTGTGATGTGCTCCGTATCTACCTAGATCTATTGTGTACTCCCTCCATCTTTAGTGTGCTATGGCTCTGTCTTGTTGCCGTAGCATCTGTACTTCTTCTATTCTGCTATCTATCTCGCCTGGTTGGATAACGCCTTCAACCGCCTATGGGCAGACTATTGCGATCCCATTCTCTGTCGCTTGTGTATTTGTGCCGGTCAGTGCACCTGTTGTGTGCGTGTTACCCTTTATTGTGAGCCGCCCGTCATTGTTCGTCGCTTGCTGTCCTGACTCATGCGTTTCGATTACAGTTCACTGACATGTGGCTCAACAGTTAGTGTTAGGGTTCTTGGCTGCGGGTGGTTTCACCGCGTCAAGGCTTTAGCCTGTCGGTGTAGTGCGGCCTATATATCGCATCTAGACTTGTATGTCATATATGGTCGTGGGTCCAGTCTGCAAGTGCGGACCACCGAGATGCCTCAGGTGGCCCTAGTCGAGATTTTCAAGAGTACCCTAGTTCCCTTGTTCGTGTCTAGTTCGCTTTCCCTGCTGTTTGCTTATCCCTCCCGAGGCATCGTAGCGGTCCCCTATATGTACTGATATTCGAGTCGTGTCCTCCCAATGGCCCTCCGCTGCGTGTGTCAGGTATCCTCTGTTTAGCGGGGATCTCTCCATTCCCGGCGTATTTCCGTGTTGCTATAACCGGCCCTATCTTCTATTCGCATCATGCCCCTTGTCACTTGCCCCCATGGTCATATGGGTTGGGTGTAGCTCCCTATCCCGCCTTCCCTTCCCCTTCTCCCATTTCTTCCCCACCGCCTCCCCTCTCCAGTCTTGGGGTGGGAGTCCCCATATCACTCTGGTGTGTGCTCGCTTGCTCTGTCTATCTGGTAACAATTGATCAGGTTTTATGTGGTGTACCCGACTGTTTGGTTGAGTAGTCCGTGTCTCCCGACTCGGGTTCCCCTCGTCTTTCTGAGGGTCTGAAGGTGTGTGTAGGTTATCTGGTCCGTCAGTGTTTTTAAGTGTGTTGTCAGTCGCGTATGGAGATTGAGTCACAGGAGGAAGTTACCGGAGCACTCAGGTTTTCGTTGTCATGGCAGTCTGATGTCTCGCACCGCCCTCCTGGCCATGTACTCCATCCACGGGAACCAGGTTGTAGCGCATTGCTCCGCTCGTCCCTCCAGGGAGGCCGTCATGAGCTCCATGTTATAGATATTTTCCACCCTGTCCACCCATTGTTGGAAGGTGGGCACCGTGCGGCTTTTCCAGTGTGTCGGTATGAGCGTTTTCGCCGCTGTGAGCAAATGGATGGTCAGCCCCTTTTTGTATTTCTGCAACGGTGTCTGCGTGTGATTGAGCAGCATCATCAGGGGCTGTAGTGGTAGGTCTGCATCAGCGATTTCCCTAATTGCTTGATGGACCTGTTGCCAGAATGGTTCGATTCGCGAACACGACCACCATATGTGCAGCTTCGTGCCCGGTTCCGTGCCACATCTCCAGCACTCACCGGGTATTGACTCGTGTACATGGCGGAGGATGTCTGGGGTCCTGTACCAGCAAGTCAGAATTTTATAGTTACATTCCTGGTATTTGGAACAGATGCTCCCCTTGTGTGTCAGCTGGAAAATCCTGTCCCATTCGGAATCCGTGACCCTCCTCTACATTTTACACTAACAGCAAAAATATGTAAAAGTACATGAAAAAACATAATTCTTATTATATTACACAGAACCCCCAGATAGCTCGGATCTGAGCGCCCAATCTAGGTGAACAGCACTCAGATCCCATGAACAGAGTAAATTTTCCATGGGGTAAAGCATAGCAAGGGCTGTTGAGAAACCAAGGAGGGACAAAAGTAGTCAGTTCCAACTGGCTTGACAACGCCCTGCTGGAGAACAATAGACAGGAAACGGGGAGGGGAAGAAACACACCTTCCCATGGATTCAAATGGGCAGAAACAGTCTTTAGAAGCCAATAAGCCCCAAATAGTCTTCTTAAATGGCAATACACCCCAGGGCCATAGTCATGAGGAAGGAGGCTGGCAATCGGGCTCCTCCAACAGCCGGGGGCAAAGGGCAGCTTGTCACCTAACAATCCAGTGACAAAAGGCATTTCGTCACAGTCACCTTATTCCACCGCCAGGCTCCCTTACCTCTCCTCCTTCCCCGTCGACGTCAGCTCTCCCGTCTGATGTCAGCGGAGCGGAATGTGCATGCGCGGCAATGCCACGCGCGCAGTCAAAGTGTCCATAGGAAAGCATTTTTCAATGCTTTCCTGTGGACGCTCTGCGTGATGGAGGCATAATATGCCTCCAGCGTCGCAGATGCACCTCTAGTGGCTGTCTAGAAGCAGCCACTAGAGGTTGGCTTAACCCCAAATGTAAACATAGCAGTTTCTCTGAAACTGCTATGTTTACAGCAGGCAGGGTTAACCCTAGAGGGACCTGGCACCCAGACCACTTCATTGAGCTGAAGTGGTCTGGGTGACTATAGTGTCCCTTTAAGTGAAAAGTGTACAGAAGGATCAGCGCTTAAAAACTTAAATAAAGGCAGCACAACTAAACAATAGGGCTCCTTCACAGGCCCTACAGGTATAAGGAAGTAGAAAAAGGTGGCGCCACATAGATAATATGTACAATTAAATATAAGCAAGTGGTTATATAGAAATAAGCAATGATGTATAATACAGAGAGAGAACAATAAAAAAATAATAATAGATATGTATATATATATATATATATATATATATATATATACATATATATATAGAAATAAATTAATGATAGCACTCCAAGGACTTTGAAAATATTGTGAAAAACCTTAGCTCTTTATTCAGGGATCTGCCACAGAAGATCAACGTTTCAGTTCTCTAAGGAACTTTCGTCCTTGGAGTGCTACCATTACTTTATTTCTATTATTTGGCTGTTAAGCACCGGGCTTTTTACTGTTAATCCAGGAGTGCAAGCAATTTGAATTTTATATATATAAAAAAGTGGACGCTTGGCACTCTCCTTATAGAAATATATAAAGATATCTTGCCTGGGTGCTATATCCTTAACGCCAAAAATATATAGAAGTACAAAACCAGGATGCACACACAGGTCTTCATTAAAGTGAAAAAAAGGTGTTTTATTAATCCATTAGATGTGTACAAAAATCAATCGACGTTTCGACCCATCTTGAAAAAGACCTGCCAGGGTCGAAACGTTGATTGATTTTTGTACACATCTAATGGATTAATAAAACACCTTTTAGTGAGTGCATCCTGGTTTTGTACTTCTCTATCTCTATCTCTCTCTCTCTCTATATATATATATATATATATATATATAAAGAGCAGTCCAAAAAGAGTCCAGTAAAATCTTGGGATGAGAGAACAATCACAGTTCTATCTGAGGTAGAGATGTCTATGGAGTAGTGGGATCAAGGGGTTCGTGGGATCCGTATGAAAGAGAAAAGAAAATCTAATAGTGCAATAAAACCCAAATAGGTAGTAGCCAATAAAAATGGTCTATATGGTCCTACTTACGTTTTTGAGAGCTAAAAACTAGCTCTAGTATAAACAGCATACAGTGGTATAATCCACACTTATGGGATACGTGAGGGAGCGTTGTAAGTAGATATCTCGTCATTTGGGGACCATATGTAACATAAAAAACAACAATAGTGCTCACTGTGATAAAACCAGGAGAGTGTATAAAAATACCAAATGGTTACTCACCTTTAATTAGGCAGACGCACTGCTCAATGATAGGGCATAAGTGGTATAATCCCCACCAAGGATGCTTTGGAGTAGTATATCTCTGGAACAAGTAAAACTCAGATGCCAGGTAGTAAAATAATAAAAATGGTAAAAAAGAGAAAATGGTTAACTCACAATAAAGAAAGTGGCCAAAATACCTTTATTAAAATACAGTAACTAACGGTAACTAATACCTATTATTTTTTTTATTGTTCTCTCTGTATTATATATCATTGTTTATTTCTATATTACCACTTGCTTATGTTTAATTGTACATATCTCTGTGGCGCCACCTTTTTCTACTTCATTATAAATAGGACTATACATAAGACACAAGGTACCGCATTTAGACTGGAAGAAAGGAGATTTAGTCTAAGGCAAAGGCAATGCTTTTTTATAGTAAGAACAAAATGGATGTGGGATTCGCTGCCTGAAGAGGTGGTTTTATCAGAATCTACACAGATGTTTAAACAGCAATTAGATAAATACTTGCAAAAACTAATATACATGGATATCATTTTTAATTAGTGGGGTTAGAGCTTGATTGAAGTAGAGATCTGACTGTCATTATGGGGTCAAGAAGGTATTTTTTTTGTTTGCCTTCTTTTGGATCAATAGTAAAAACAACGGTGATAAAGGCTGACCTTGATGGACACGTGATAACGGTTCCTTTGAAGTGTGTTACAATGGAAAAGTGTCATTGTTTGGGATATGGAAATTGGAAATCATGTGATAATTTATTTTAGGGGTTTTTTTTTTGCTTGGCCATATTACAGATCATAGAGGTTATATCATGTATGGTACTTGGAGTGACTTTTAAATTGTAAAATATACTATTTGGACAAGCTGTGTGTGTGGTTCTTAGACAGGAGTTGAACTGAGCCATTTAAATCTTGTCAGACTGCTGAACTTTGTCTCAAACTTTTATTTTCTCCCTGCAATATGAGGCTTCCTTAATCATCTGAACACTTTTCCTCCTTTCTGACAGATTAATTTATATCAGGAAGCGCCCAATGACAAGCATGACAGCTGCGGTGGTTGCTGTACTATCTGTCCAACATAATAACACATCATATTATGATTTTAATATTAGGAAGTGTGATGCACTTTTGGCGTTCAATGGATGTTAGGCATATTTTTTTAGATTTGACTTAATCTCATGGCCATCAATAGCTTAGTAATGTCTGCAATTATAAGTGGTTATAAAATGATATTAAAAAAAAACTAAGAGAAAAGAAAATCAGACAAATAGCAGGAAAAAAAAGGAAAAAGATTAAACATTTATTCATGTAAATTGTGAGAAATTAAAAGTAAATTTAATATTTACTGACACTGAATAGCATAATAAATCCAAACTGCAAAATCGAAGCTAAAATGGCTCATTTGGGGGGCGGGGCCTGACAGCCAAGATGGCCGGTCGTGCTTTCTGAGAGCTCCTGCAATAGAGGGCACAAAACCGCCAATTCTGCATGAACTACTGGTGCTAGCAGAAAACGGAGCCCAGGGAACAAACCAGAGTCACACGGGGCACACAATGATACCCGACCCGCATCGAAACCACATAAACACAAATGGACCGACCATGAGGCCTACTGCGGAGCGGGACCTGCAGCTTGGGGGAGGCGGCCGATCCCCC